ATGATGATGATGATGATGATGATGATGATGATGATGATGATGATGATGATGATGATGATGATGATGATGATATAAACAGTCTGACTATTGGCAATTCTGTGGGTCAGGTCTCTCCACATCTTCCAATCTTCCAACCAGTTGCGTTTTTCTATTTTCTGGCTGGTGCCAGCTTTGACGATAAATGAAACAGATGTATATAGCTAACCTGGCTGCTTTCTGCTCCTAAAGGAAGGAAAATATTGGAATTTTAAAAAATTAAAAAGAATAAACTAGCATACAGTGTTATTAAATATAATTGAAAATTAGACAGGAAGAGGATGCGACATGCATGTACAAAATTCTACAAAAACTTGAGGGTGGTGGTAAATTAAAGCCAAGCATAAGTCAATGCGGAAAAAGTACTTACCTTTCTTGTAACGCTTCCCTCCGCTGGTGCTGCACACAACAGCAATGGAAGGGAAGGGAGTGCACCTGTCTTGGATATTGATCCCTCATATGACCTTGGTAAGCAAAGGCATGCCGGCTGCAAATTCCTCATGTCAATGGGAGAAAAACCAAAAGACTTGCTGTTCAGTCCCTGATTGTTGTGCAATCAGCTGAGCCTCAAAATAGAAAATCATAAGCATGTGTGACTTCTGGGGTACCAAAGGGCAATCACATGACCCCAGGCCCCTTGGGAGGGCCCCAAATAGTCACTCCTTCCAAAGTGGCTGAATCTTAGTGATGCAATCATGAAGGTCTGCGGGGCTGATAATTTCAGGGCACGGTCATAGGTCTATTTATGGGACATTGTTGTTAATTCAAAAAGATATTAAGCCAGTGGTCATAGGTTGAGGACTACCTATAATGCCATTTAATCTAATCTCTCACCAATAAGATAATCAGATCCCCTCCTTTTCCTAGCCAGACGAAGTTGGATCTATCTGACCATAAAGTATTTCTTCTAGGCATCTAATGACAACGCAGGGGGCCTTACCCAAAAAGGCCACATTTCTGGTGTTTTCCAGCATAACCTCTCTATGTAGAGCTTTTTGATCAGGATTTAACCAAGACCATTCCTCCTTGGAAAAATGCACAGCCACCTCCTCAAACAACACAAGAACCTACAAAAAGAAGCAGAGAAGTTTTATTTAGAAATTCTTTCATTTTCTTTCAAGGACCCCCAAAGCAGAGATTTGCAGTGGGCTACAGGAGTATCTTATTCAGGGTTAATTGCTCCCACCGTGTTAGCATTCCAGAAAGCCTGTTTTTCCAAGTCTCCAATTAGGACAATCAGAGGCCCTGTCAGATTAGAGTTACCGTATATGAATATATCATTCGTTGTGGTTATTCTTTATCTGATTCCATTTTAATTCCATTAGTTTCATTTTTAGTTGGTTGGAAATGGCCAATGTATCAACTATACCCATGATGCCGAACCTATGGCACACGTGCCACAGGTGGCACACAGAGCCAAATCAGCAGGCACAGGAGCCACTGCCTTAGCTGGGCTCCACCACTCATGCATGTGCTGGCAAGCTGATTTTCGGCTGGCCCGCCCACACTGCCCTTCCCTTCCCAGGAGTCTCCACACAGGGCTCACATGGAGGTTCTGGGAGGGCATTTTCAGCCTACGGAGGGCTTCCAGGGGGGTGGGGAGGCCATTTTCACCCTCCTCCCTCTCCAAGAAAGTTTCTGGAGCCTGGGGAGGGCAAAAAATGGGCCCACTGGAAGTAGGGAAATTGGCTGTTTCCAGCCTCCGGGGGGGGGGAGCTGTTTTCACCCTCCACAGGCCCCCCAAAAGCCATGCGGAAATGCACGTGGCAGCAGGGGGGGGTCACACACACATGCACAGAGGGGATAGCATGGGGGTCATTAAATTATGGGTGTGGGCACATGCGTGCAATAGTGCATGCTTGTGTGCATGTTTTTGCCACCTGAGGAAAAAAAGGTTTGCCATCACTGAACTATACTGAATGTCAGGCACTTTTGTGAATGTAAATTAAGATCTTTCTGTATCAATTCACAGAGAAGCCTATCGCTAGTTCTCATCCTACCTGTTGTAAGAGAACATCCTGGTGGGATCTTTTCTAACATTTTAGCTGATATATTTCAAGATCTCTTTAGAGATCAATCCTGCGCCCCACCCCCCCAAACAATGTTACAAAAATATGGAAAGAGCCATCAAAAGGATATGATTTGTGAGGTGCTACCAACATTCAGGCCAATTTTAGCTTCTTGTCAGACCCACAACAGTGTTGGGAGGGGAGCTAGGGTAAGCATTAAAACGTTAAAGGTTTCCCTCACACATATGTGCTAGTCGTTCCCGACTCTAGGGATTTGAACTGCTGAACTGCCAACCTTTCTGATCGACAAGCTCAGCTACTGAGCCACCACATCAGGTAAGCATTACTGACCAGCAAGGTGGAGATCTTTTGTTATGGGTTCTACATGTGATGTTGTTGACTCTGAGCAACATGAAATTAGGATTCATCTTGCTGGTCAGGGTAAGTATTGCTGACCAACAAGATGAATGCTAATTTCATGTTGCTCAGAACCACCAGCATCACATGTAGAGCCCATAACAAGAGATCTCCACTCAATCTCTCTATCCTTCCCGACAATTCACTCCTACCTGAGTCACAAGTTCAGCTGACCTTTCAACTCCACCAGAAAAAGGAGAACAATTTATGAATGGCAACTTTTCCTTCCCTGTAAGATAAAAGTAACAGAAGTGCAATGTTTAGAAACATAACTACTAAGATATGAATAAGAATCATGCAAAAGAGAGCCCTAAGAATGAGAAAGAAGTATTTTCTTTCCTAGGAAACTTCTCTTACCAGAGGTGTTCTGCCTTTGATCTTCATGGAAGATCCCCCTAAAGAGCAGCTCCTGGAAAGGATCTGGCAGATCCTTCCTTTCCTTGGGCTTTTCAGAGACTGACTTCAAGTTGAGCCTCTGAATGTGGTGGACCTGGAGAAACAGCAAATAGGAGAACTTTAAAAAAGAAGCAGATTCTCACTGTGTACTCAATGGAATAATTTGTCTTAAGCTTTAAATTGGTAAGAGGCTGTTAAGGGCTGGATAGCAATGAGCTGAAACTGAACCTTGGCAAGCCCGAATGACTCTGGATTTGGGGTTCTTTGGTCCACAGACAATTGCGATCTTTGGCTTGGTAGGATTGCCGTGCCCTAGGGGGACCTAGTACATAATCTGGAGGTTCTCCTGGACTTGCAATTGCTGCTCCAAGAGCAGGTGGAAGTCATGACTTGGAGAGCCTTTGTGAATAGCAATAGGAATAGCAGTTAGACTTATATACTGCTTTACAGTGATTTACAGCCTTTTTTTAAGCAGTTTACAGAGTCAGCCTCTTGCCCCCACAATCTGGGTCCTCATTTTACCCACTTTGGAAGGATGGAAGACTGAGTCAACCTTGAGCCTGGTGAGAGTCGAAATGCCAAATTATCGGCAGCCAGCAGTCACCAGAAGTAGCCTGCAGTACTGCATTCTAACCACTCCACCACTGTGGCTCATGCTATTTGTCAGTGATGCCCTTTCCTGCACTAACAAGCCCTGCTCACAGTCACCTGTTTTCTAGTGACCTCTTGACTACTGCAATTCATTCTACATGGGCTGACCTTGAAAAGTACTTTCTCTAGTAGCTCCAATTTGGTTCAAAATGCAGCAGCCCGCATGGTTTTCTGCAAGTTTAGATTTTGCACACGTGTCATCTCTCTTAAAGTTGTATTGGTTGCCAATAAGGTTCCACGCCCAATTCAAGATGCTGGTTGTCATCTTTAAAGCCCTTCATGGGCTGGTGTCAGATTATTTGAAGGACTCTCTTTTACTAATTACATCTATTCAACCCATCAGAGTCGGAAAAACGGATATGTTATGGGTCTCATCTCTTAAGAAAGTCAGTAGGGCCTAAGGACTCAAGAATGACACAGAATGGTTAGTATGATAGTTGTTGCCAGGGGTATGTGGGAGTTTACTGGTTTTCATATTTACGGTTTTATTTCTGTGAGCTGCCCAGAGTCACTGAGGGAGTGGGGTGTCCATATAAATTTTCTTAAGAAATAAAATAAAATAAACATCTACTTGTATATTTACAACATGTAAGTATCTCAACATCCCATCATTCTTTAAGTTTCCACCTTGATTTTGCCAAGTGAAGGTTTCTCACCTGCATCTCCCACTGCTTCTTCTGCTCCTCTACCTGGCTCAGGAGAAAACCTTCAGCCAGGGACACCGCCTGGGTGCTGGTCTCTGCTCCACATTCCCGGACCCAGCTCTCCATCTCGGGGGGGCAGAAGAGCCACCAAGACCTCCAGGATCAAGAGGTCCAGCATCTGTCCCTTTGTCTTCCTTTCGGGCTGAAGCCACTGGTGACAAAGTTGGTAGAGACAGCTACAAATCTTCCGGGGGTCCTGGTTCCACAAGGAGCAGGCCAGAGCACCCATTTTTCTTCCAGTGGCTTCCTACAAGACATCCTGAAGGTCCTCTGTCGTCCTCCATTGGGTCCCTTTCAAAGAGGAGGCATGAAGCTTTACCTGCAACCCATAGGCCCTCTTTGGCAGGTGAGACTTTAAATCAGCGGGCACAATCTTTCCTGGCACAAGATGATCCTGATGAGGGTCTTTTGGGCAGTTCTCTGAGGGGACTTCTTGGGGCCACCTGTGCCCCAGTCCTGACCCCTCCAAAGGGACTTCTGGCAAGGCCCCATTTGGAGCCTCCTCCTCCTCCAGCGGACCTGCCCAAACAGCCCTGTCCAGATCAGCAGCCGACCAGCTCCTCTCCTTGCGCACCAGGTGCAGCGTCTTCTCTAGCAACGGGCGCAGCTCGTCCCCTCGCTCGTCCCAGCCTTCCTCTTGCAGGGCCTTGGTCAAAGCTAGCAGTCTCTTCGGCTGGGCGCGCCCTTCCTCCCGAAGCAGCGCTTGGACAGCATCCCGCGGCCGCTTCTCGAGCAGCGCCTCTAGGGCGAGCTGCAGAGCGACCGCGGCATCCCCGGGCAGGCCGCTCTCTCCAGCTTTCTCCAGCTTCGCCGTCAGTCCTAGCAGCGCTGCCCGCAGCGCTGCCACGCCGGGCTTCCTCCCTCGCCTCGAAGCCGGGCCCGGGTCTTCGGCCAGCGCTTGGATGCCGCGCAAGAGCGCCATCTCCAGCCGCAGCAACCCCCGCAGCCGCTCCTGCTCGGCCAATGACACCACCGCGTCCCGGCCGAGCAGCACCTCTCGCTTGGGGTCCCCAGCACCTGGTAGAAGCTAATGGCCACGCCCCTGCTGGACGCTCCTCCCCGGGAAGCCCGGCCCCTTGTGAAGAGACCGTTAGAAAGGACCGGACCGTTAAAAGGGCCCCGAGGGGACCAGCTATTTAAACTGAAGAGAGAGTTCTCTAGACTTAAGCGGAAGGGAACAAACGTGAGGCAGGTTTTCAGAAGTGCGACTTAAAAAGATGCTTTTCCTTTTGTAAAATAGCGCTTCTTCATGAACCTCCCACGCCTGACTGCTGGAAATTTCTCTCAGCGATTATTTTGAAGAATAAGAAGCCGTTTTATTCAAAAGGCACCACATTTGTGCTGCGGAGTGATGGTGGCCTTGAGTTTGAGGGTGAAGGAATGGGCTCAAGCTCAACGGGATTAAAACCCTGAAGAAAAATATTTCAAGAAGAGACCTAAAGAAGAGAATATACATACATACATACATACATACATACATACATACATACATACATACATACATACATACATACATACA